GGCCCCCCGCCACCCCCCTCACCCTCTACACTGCTGCCTCTCTATCAGAGGCAGCAGTGCAGGGCTGGAGGAGCAGGCGGATCCAGTGCTTGTGGGGAGCCGATTTAAAGCCGGCTCCCTACAGGCAACAGTCCCACGCTGCTGCCTCGGATACAGAGGCAACAAAGGGGGTGTGCTGCGTGTGGTCATGAGGATTAACTGATAAGGCCAGGCTGGGCTGTTTAGCTTGTCAATGCGGAGACTGCCTGCTGTTTGTGCAGCACCTGGCCCCTGGCTGGAGCCCAGAACACATGGGCCATGTGAAGCTGCACACGACTGGAAGATAAAATGGGGCATCACTGAATGAACGCAGACGCCAGCTTCACAGCGTGGTCGCGGTGAGAGACTAGACCTGCGCGGGATTGTGACAGAGCCTGGGGATGTATAGCCGTTACGGCCACAAGGGACCATGAGATCATCCTGTCGGGCCTCCGGCACAGCACGGCCCAGTGAATTCCACCGAGCCATTCCTGTCTCAAGACCAGAGCCTCCGGCCGAGCTACTGCAGAGCTATTAGACCAGGGGTCTCCAACTCCCAGCCCACAGGCCGACCTCAGCCCAAGCAACTTCACAGTCCAGCCCAGGAGTCCTGTGGGGAAGCAGGAAGTGTGGGGATCACAACGCCTTCTGCTGCCCCCTGCCTGGTAATCCCCTAAGCCATGTCCCTTGGGGTAAGGGTGCAATGGGGGGAGGGGAGCAGAGGACAAGGTGGGGGTTGAAAGGGGAGGTTTTGGGGGCCATGGATGGACATACACCCCTTGGGCTGCAGGGATTCCCAGGTCAGATGGTGAAACTGCTCAGGCTGTAGATGGCTCCCGGGCTGTGAGTTTGAGACCCTGTACAGACAGATGCGCACTGAACTGAATTAAAGAATTCTGGAATGATCTGTAGCGAACTCGAGTTCTAACAAAACCTTCCAAACAAGGAATGGAACGGACCGGCTGAGACCAAAGAAAAACTGCAATTAAAAAACAAACTTTCCAACACAGTCTCTTAGCAGTGGGGGGAATAAACCTTCAGACCAGCACAGACAAAGCTTCAAACCAGTCGCATTTACCTGTCATTGTCGGTGCTGCTTGTTCACGGCTGGTTCTTCCCTGGATAATGAAAACTCTAATCCCCTTGGACAGTTGGTTGTTTCCACTTTCCCAGGCTCAGGCCCTGCAATGCTTGGCTTACAAACACTGCAGGGGAGTCGTTTGGTGTTCAAAAAGTCATGGAAACGGCCTTAATGCCTCTGGGGTCGGAAGGAATATCTTGTCTCTTTACAAGAGACAAGGTTACGTACACAGTGCAGCTCTTTTCCGGAATACCTCCAGCATCCCAGAAAAGCTGCGCCATGTCCAAGGAACGTGTCCACTTTTCCGAACAGTTTGAGAAAAGCGGACACGTTTTCGCCATCCCTGTAAACCTTGTCGAGGAAGACGGGATGTGCCGAAAGAGGAGGTTTTTCCAAAATTTGGCGCCGTGTAGATGTGCCAAATTTTGGAAAAGCCTCTTCCAAAAGAAAAGCGGAAAAAGATACGCAAATTGCAGTTTCTTTTCCAACTTTTCTTTGTAGCGTAGACACAGCCTAAATCTGGAGCTAGAGGAGTCCTTTAGGCCACACCAAGCAGTGGTCGATTGGTCCCATATGGCCACACCCAAGTGCAAAATTCTCAGCCTGCAGGGGCTGAATTTTTCACACCTCAGGAAAAGAGGCTGAGTCTGACAGAACGAGATTTTTTGCTGACTTTCCTTCAGGGGGAAACATTCGTGGGTTCTTCTAGGAGGAAAGTCATGCTTGAGGAAACAGCCAAGCTGGCTTTGGAGCCCTTGTTTGGGCAAAGAGGGCAGGCTGGGTTCGTTGTCCTCATTCGTGTTTCACTGACCAGCTGTTTAAAGACAGAAAGCATGAAGAAAAGACAGGTACCAGAAATGATATTCTCCTTTTATTTACACTATAGCCACGACCTCAATATGTTTGTGTTCGCTGCCGAGATGCTTTGTATTGTAAACTGGGCACGTAGACCCAAGACATTCTGTCTGGTCAGATCCAGCACTAAGTTCCCAGACCACCATATGGTTTATCCAGAGTCGTGAGAGTGTCGGATTCACACGGTTGTGTATCTGCACAATCAAACCCTCCGTCGTCACGGAACGATATTTACACCTACGGGCTCCCAACGGCCTGCTGCTAGGAGCACAGAGTTTGTCAAACCCCGCAGAGTTAGAAAGTGTTGCACACGCTCGTCGAAGAGGCGGTTGTCCACTCCACTGGGACTCCAGCAAGACGCGCGGAAATATTGCACTTGTACATGAAGAAAAGAGAGGACGCAGGGAGCTCCTATCATACAGCGACGACACGGGAGGTCAATAAATAAATGGAGAGGAGTGTGGTTGGCCTGGGGAAGGAACTGGCTTTTCTGCTCCGGGGCGCATTGCCACAGAAGTGCCATTGTAGCCCCCCAGCAGGGCTTTCGGGGCGGAGCACAGAAGCCCCACTGACAGGGGTTTGGTCCAGTTGAGTGTCTCTTGCTGAGGTAAGAAGCAGGTTCTTGGTTTCCACCCACCCCAAAGCCCCGCTGCCCCCTAACTCAGGGTCACTTGTTGCCCCCCAAAACCAAAGACGAAGCTCAGGCCAGTACTTCACAGTAGTCTCGTGGGAGTTCCCTCCTGGCTAAAATCACACCTGAGCCTCGGCAAAGGGCGTCGTACCAGTGAGATGGGGAGGCCCTGAGGAGGGTACGATGCAACAGTACCAGACTGCTTGGCTCTCCAGCCCCCGGGCCTCTTGCTCTCTGCCTTTGCCTCTTCACACATCCGCTGGTTCCAGAGCTCTGGCTTCCCCGGGCGGCCCCGCACAGAAAGGCCAGCTCCCCGAAGATCGCTCCAGTCCATTCCATGTAAACAGGCAGCTCCCAGGCTGCCCCGGCAGAGTCCGTGGGCTCTACAGGGAGGGGCTGGATTTCTTCTGGTGGATTAAGTCTAAATACAACTCGGAGCGGAGGAAGCGGGGGTAAGGGTCCTTCTCCATGAGCCCATAGATCCGTTTCTGAGCGAGGTCGAAGCAGCTCCGGGTGACAGTCTGCAGGTTTTCTTTGGTGTGGTCCCGCGTGTAGGAGTCCAGGTTCACCTGCAGAGGAACAAGGGACAGTCCCCTAAAGCCATGCCCAGCAGACTTTCCCAGCCTGGCCCACCTGGCGCTCATTCTCTGCTCCAAAGGGAACCGTCACCCACTTGGGAAGGGCTTTGGCAGGGACAGACCCGGGCACACACTAGGGACGGGCTCCGGGAACCAAACAGTCCCTGCTTAATGCAGAGATGGGCAACGAGGCCGGTGAGCGGGCCGCAGGAGTGACCTCCATCTCAGTGGCCACAGGACTGGCGTAACCACGCCAGGCTCCTGGGCGAGGGTGGGTCTGCCAACTGCGCTGGCGTCCCTAGAATTCGCAGGGCGGGCCGACGGGACCGCAGCAGCGCTGGGACTGGCTGGCTCTCGCAAAAACCCTGCCACAGATGGAAGCCAGCAGAATCTGGTAACCCGGCGTGTGGGTCAACGACTGTCTCAGGGGCCACACGCAGAACCGCAGTGGCCGCAGGCTGCCCACCACTGGTTAATGGCTGCTAGCCAAGGACGGTGCCCTAGCCTCCGGCAGCAGCGGGCTATGAGAGGGATCACTTGATGGGTACTGGTTCTGTGCGCTGACACGGCCTGGCTGCTCATGTTCATAATGGGCTTCACCAGGGCACCTCCAGCCCTGGTAGGACAGGGCCAAAGGCTGCTCCTTGGTGAAGCCCCCACCAGCACGTGACGGGTAACAAGGCGGGGCTAACATGGGGGGGGGGTAACCCCACAA